GGTGGGTTTTGCAGCTGGACTATGAGCACCTAATGCTGTTGGCTGTAAGGACTGGGGGGCACCTCTTATTCATGGACCTCTATTGCAGGTGGCTATGTGTTGTGGGTGGAGCCACCAGTCCTCAGGCCCCTGATGTGGGTAGGTGAAAACCCTGCTTAATGGGCAGAACAGTGTCAGATATCAAGAACCTGCTACCTCACAGCCGAAACAGTTGAAGTTAGACTTCTGGTATATACCCTGTTGTACTGCAGTAATAAGGGCCTACGCTGCTGAGATGGGCCCACACAAGTCTATGCAGGGGGAAAGGCACTGAAAATCTGTGGATCCCTTATGCCTGTGCCTAGGCAAAGGAGCTGTGCCTACTCCAGGTTCCTGGCTTAGGGGAGCCAGCAGTATATTTTTTCCCCTGTTTGTTAATTTGTTCACTCTCCAAGGCAGGGAGAATGTCTCCCGGCGTGTGACAGATCCTACTTCTGGCCCACAGGACTCAGCAATTGCTGAAGCCTGTCCGGGACCTAGTGCAGAGCAGGGAGCAGGGAGGTAAATGGGAGAAAGGTTTTTCCCTAAGGGGAGTGTTTTTGATCCACAGGGTAAGCAGTACACAATTACTTATCTTTTGCTGGATCGAAGGCTGCTTCTCACTGCTTCTGGACGGCCGTGTAGACTCTCAGCGGCTGGGTCTCTCCAGGTGCACAAAACATGCCTCCTGAGCACAGCTGCTTGCCTGCCTCACCGCTCATTCACAAGCTGCTTAGGCCTGAAGGGCTCAGCCTCTTGCCGGGTCAGGTCCGGCAACTCCTCGCTGCTTCTGAACCGTCTCTCCCTCCCCCTGCTACTCCGTCTGGTTCCTCAACTCTGCCTTTGATGTTCAGAGCTCCCAGATTGTCATATATTATGGAATCACTTGTTTTTTTTTGGGTCTTTGTTGTAAGAGGGTCAACTGGAAACGTCTGACCACTCCACTGTCTTGGCCCTGCCTCTCCTAGAGCTGATATTTCTATTTTCTTCTCAGAGGTGGTGTCTTAGTCACCTCATGCTGCTATAACAAAAATACCACAAACGGATAGTTTAAAGAACAGGAATGTTATTATCTCACAATTTTGGAGGGTAAATGTCCTAATCAGGACATCGACATCCCTCCTTGTTAGTAGCCCTGGGTGTTCCTTGGTGTTTCTTGGCATTCCTTGGCTTGTGGATGGTTACTTACATGGTCTATTCCCCTTTGTGTGTGTGTGTCTGTGTCTGTGTCTATTCTGCTCTATTTATAAACCACCACTCAGAAGGGATTAGGTTTAGGACTTACCCTACTCCCCGTATGACTTCATTAACGTAACAAAAGAAAACCCCTATTTCCAAACAGGATCATATTTACAGGTACTGGGAAGGAAAAGGATTAGGATTTCAATATATATTTTGAGGGGACACAATTCAATCCATAACAGGTGGGGAAACACAGGGCTGGTGTTTTTTATACCTATTGGCTTCAAACCTTTACTTCCCCTGCCTGGTCCCTAGGCAGTTGAGTTTGCTGAGCAAACCAACAGTCCTATTCCCTGTGTATTAACAGGCAGTCAGTATTCAGTGTGAAGGGAGCCCACCAGCTGCTGCTGCAAGGGTGAGGAGGCATGGGAGGCTTCACTGGAGAGGGTACCTTCAAGCTGAGACTCAAGAAGAAAAAGGTTGGGGTTAGGGGCATTCCAGGTAGAAGGCACTGTGCCTGTCTGTACAAAGGCACAGAGTGAGTGGGAGCAAAACTTTGTGGAAACTGCAGGCTAGACGGGGAGTGGCTGGGGTTTAGGGAAGGGGTGAGAGATATGGTTGGAAGGTTGATGGAGATTGAGTCATAAAGAGCCTAGAATTCTATGCTGAAAAATTTAGTCCTTGCCCTCTGGGGAAAAGGAATGAACTCTGGTGGTACTTGGAATCATGGAATGTTAGCTATCTAGTCCATTTATTCATCTCTGTTAGAATCATGAAATATTAGAGAAGGAAGGAGGGATCTAGGATCTATTAGATATAATATATCTTAGATATCTGTTAAAATTGTGGAATGTTTGGCTGGAAGGAGCCTTAGAGATCAAATTAAAAAATCCTATTCTGTTATTCTTAATCCTTTGTGAGTAAGTAAACCCGTAGAATCTGAAAAAAGTTATAATACCTCTCCCTAGAAGAGAGATGCACTTAACACCCTTCTGCATATGATTTCAGGTAATTTACCAATATACTTAAACCCACCCAGAGACCCCATGTTAAGTTTAGAATATATACTGATGTATATTCCATTCTCTTGAATTTTGCAGATTAAGGAATCAAAACACCAAGAGGAGGAATGGTCCAAAATCAAAAACTTTGTAAGTAGTTCCATGAGGACAAATTTTTTTTTCCTTTGTAATTATTGCTAGTTTTATTCTTCTGTCTAAGAGATCCAGAGGTAATATGAAATTTCCATTTTTTTTTTATAGTTCTTTCATCAAGAGTTCAAGTGCCCCCCAGTTATGTAAGCTTCTTAGCCATAACCAAACACCTCGAGGAACTGAGTCACTGGGCTTGAGGGGTTAGGACCGTAGTCTCAGGAGACATCTAAGTCAACTGGCATAACATAGTCCATAAAGACAATGTTTTACATCCTACTTTGGTAAGTAGTGACTAGGGTCTTCAAAGCTTGCAAGTGGCCATCTAAGATACAGCTATTGGTTTCTTCTTGTCTGGAACAAAGAAGAGTGAAGAAACAGTCCAAAGGACTAACAGACCCTATGAAGGGACTAATAGACCCTATGAACCACAGCCTCCACTAGCTTGAGACCAGAAGAACTAGATGGTGCCCAGCTACCACTACCAACTGCTCTGATAGGGATCACTGTAGAAGGTCCTGGACAGAGTAGGAGAAAAATGTAGAACAAAATTCAAATTCATAAAAAAGACCAGACTTACTGGTCTGTTGGAGACTGGTGGAACCCCCAAGATTATGGCCCTTAGACACCTTCAGACCTGGAACTGAATCTACTCCTGCAAATCACCTTTCAGCCAAACAATAGACAGACCTATAAAGTGAACAGTAGCACCCGTGAGGAATGTGCTCCTCGGAAGAATCAACCACACAAGCCCAAAAGGGCAGAATTTGCCCAAAAACGAAGTTCAGAAGGCAGGGAGGGGCAGGAAAGATGGGCAAATGGAAATGGGGCATCCAGGGAGGAAGTGGGTAGAGTGCTGACACATTGAGAGGATAGCAACTAATGTCATGAAACAAAATGTGTATAAATTGTTGAATGGGAAACTAATTTACTCTAAACTTTCACCCAAGCCACAATAAAATGTTGAAAAAAAAAAAAAAGAGTTTAAGTGCCCCCATTGCCCTTATAAACTGGTTACAAATTATTTTATTGAATCTTATTTTTAAAAATCTTTAATTGTTGGGGTGTGTGTGTGCATGTGTGTGGCACAAATAATGTGTTCATTAGAAAATATGTATAAGCAAAGAAAAAAAATTTTAAAAAACACACAGAAATAAGCATAGTTAAGTATTTGATATAAGGAGTCCTGGTGGCAAAATGGTTAAGCCCTTGGCTGCTAACGGAAAGGCTGGCAGTTGGTACCCACCCAATAGCTCCCTGGGAGAAAAGACCTGACAATCTGCACCTGTAAAGATTATAGCCTAGAAAGCCCTATGGGGGCAGTTCTGCTCTGACACATGAGTTCGCTATAAGTTGAAATAGACTTGACGGCACCTAACAAGTATTTGATATATGTTTGTATGCATACACACACACATACACACAATTTGGAATTTTATCCTAATATCTGAGCTGATACTAAATATGCTGTTTTGTAACCTGTTGTTTTAATTTACAATATGAAATGAGCATCTTTCCATGCATGTGTATGAAACTTCCCAACTGAAAAATAAACCTGGAAAATGGGTCAAAATGCAAAATCCAGTGAGATGCTGGTAACAAGGAAACCACCTAAAACAAAATACCACCAGATGATTAAAAGTAAAATGAGGGTCAAAGATATATCAGAAAATGCTAACAAAAAGAAAGCAGGGGCCAGATTTTAATATCAGACAAAAAGAATCCAAAACAGTATGGAATTCTTTTGACTCCTAGTTCGGTGCTCAGATCATATTACCCCAAAACCCACTGAGTCGATTCTGACTCATAGCGACCCTATAGGACTGAGTAGAACTGCCCCATAGAGTTTCCAGGGAGTGGCTAGTGGATTCAAACTGCTGACCTTTTGGCTAGCAGCCTGAGCTCTTAACCACTGTGCCACCAGGGCTTCCAAGAGGATATTGTTCTCTGACTGGGAATCGAACTCCAGCCATGGCCATGAGAGCGCCAATTCCTTACCACTAGATCACCAGGGAACTTCTGATCATATTAGGCCTTTTTATTATCACTGGATTGGGTGCTCACTTGGGAAGGGATCATGAATCATTCATCTCTTATCATAAATCATTATCACTTAGCTTCCAACACAAGGCCTGACAACCAGTCGATCCTCAGTAATGTTGATAAAAGAAAGAGGAAAGTGGCGGGTTGCAGACCATCCCTGTGAATGGAGAGCTCTAATATAGTTCCCAGACTCTTTCAGTCAGAGACATTGTGTCTTTTGATGGCACACCATTGTGGGAGATTGTGAAAAGAAGTGTGGATACTCTTTTTTTTTTAGCTTTTTATTTAGAAATAATTATAGATTTACAGGAAGTTGCAAAAATAGTACAGAGAGGTCTTGTGTACCCTTTACTCAGTTTCCCCCAGTGTCAGCGTCTTTCATAACTATAGTATAATATCAAAACTAGGAAACTGATATTGGTAGAATCCACAGATCTTATTGAGATTTCACCAGTTTTACATGTGCTCATGTGTATAGGTCTAAGCAATTTTGTCACATGTGTAGATGTGTGCAATTACTACCATAATCAAGATGTAGAACTGTTTGATCACCACAAAGATCCTTCATGGTGCCACTTTATAATTACACCCACTCCCCCATCCCTAACTCCTGGCAACAACTAATCTGTCCTCCATCTCTATGATTTTGTCATTTTGAGGATGTTATATAAATGGAATCATGCAATCTTTTGGAATTGGCTTTTTTCACTTAGTGTAATTTCTTGGAGATTCAGGCAGGTTGTTGAGTGTATCAGTACTGTCTTAGGCTGGGTTCTCTAGAGAAGCAAAACCAGTAAAGCGTATAAATATATATAGAGAGAGATTTATATCAAGGAAATAGCTCATGCAATTGTAGAGGCTAAAACGTCCCAAGTCCACAGATCAGGGTAGAGGCCTCTCCCAATTCACAGAGCTGCAGAAACTGGTGAACCCAAGGTCAGAAGGTCGGAGAGGGACTCCTGCTCACAGTCTGTGAAAGTCAATGAATTCCAAGATCAGCAGACAAGACCGCAAGGTTTCTCCTGATTCACGTAGCTGCAGGGGCCGGCGAACCCAAGATCAGCAGTTTGGGTAACTGGACTCTTGCTCGCATGCTGAGAAGTTTGACAAGTTCCAAGATCAACAGGTAAGCTGCTAGCTCAAGTCTCAAGAACCAGAGGTGAGACAACAAGAGGCAGCTGCTGAGTCTGGAACAAGCCAAAAACCATGGCAAGGCGAGCAGGCAGAAAGTAACCGGCAGAAGGCACAGAGATGAAACTGAGGGGGCGGTGAACTGCCACAGGCCCTGCCTCTGCCAGTACCACTCAGCAGATTCCATCATGGGGGTGATCACAACATTATACAACTGCTAAAATACTAAGAATAATGGCCTAGCCAAGTGGACCTACAGTCTTAACCATCACAAATACGTAGTCCGTTCCTTTTTATTGCTGATTGGTATTCCGTCGTATGAATGTACCACATTTTGTTGAACCATTCACCTGTTGAGGAGTATTTGGATTGTTTGCAATTTGGGGCTATTAAAAATAAACTTGCTATAAATTATTTTATAGTATGGTCTTGGGTAAATCATGTAATCTTTCTTAGCCTGGGAATAAGAACTACTACACAGGATGGCTCTGTAAAGTCAATGAGGAAATATATATAAAAGAATTGGTACAGGATCTGGCACAGAGTATGCATTTAGTAATTATTTTAAATGATAATAATTATGAAAAGGATAATACTTATTTGAATGTGTAAATTCTAGTATGTGGTATTAAAGTCACAGGCATTGCTATTATCATCATCACTATTATTAGCCATTTTGAGCATCTGCGTGTATATGACACTTTATTTACAGGTCAGAAATTGAGGTCTCAAGAGATTAATTAGCTTTTCTCAAATTCAGCCAATAAATGGCAGGTTTGGGATTGAAACCCAGGTTTAACCTAGAAACAAAAGGAAACTGTGGAAGGAGTTAAGCAGGGGAGGGAAGTGATCAGAGTTGTTTTAGGAGACTGATTCTGGATGCACTGTAAAGAACATTTTCCTTATTGCTGAATATTTAGATTATTTCTAATTTTTCATTATTAAAATAACAAGGTGACAATCATCTAGTGCTTAAAGCTTGTGTATTTTGTAATACAAATGTCTGTTGTTATCACCATCTATTTGTTTCTAAGTTTGAAAAGCAAGAGTTCTGATAGCAAGGGTTTGGATTGTAAGGGATACCTGTATTTCCTTAGGCTGTATTTCCAGAAGAGAAATTAATGAATGAAATCTTTTTATATATATTAGCACGTTGCTTTCTATAGAAATGCATGTAATTCATATAACCTTAGTATAACCCCTTTGCTTCACAAATATACAAACTAAAATTCAGAGAAGGGAAGTACTAGCCAGGGTAGAATTCAGGGCCCAGCAATGTATGAGAGTTTTAGTTGCTCTGTTTCCTCACCAACACTTAATATTGTCAAATTTTTAAAAAAACATTGGAATAGATGTGTAGTGGTATCTCATTTTGGTTTTAATTTGAATTTTCCTAATAACTAAAGATGTTGAGCATCTTTTCATATGCTTATTTGCTTCCAGTATATCTTCTTTGGTAAACTGTCAAATCTTCTGCACATTTTAAAAATTGGGTTGTTTATTCTCTTACTGTTAAGTTCTAAGAGTTCTTTATGTATTCTGGATACAAGTCTTTTGTCAGATATGTGATTTGCAGAATTTTTCTATTGGTCTGTAACTTGTCTTTTCATTCTTTTTACAATGTCTTTCTCAGCAAAAGTTTTTATCATTTTTTATTTTATGGATCATGAACTCTTTGCCCTATGCAAAGTCATGAAGATTTTTATCCTATGTTTTCTTCTAGATGTTTTATAGTTTTGGGTTTTACATTTAGGTCTGTGATCCATTTTGAGTTAATTTTTGTACAAGATTTGAGGTATGAGTTGAAGTACATTTTTTTCCATATG